AGGTGGATGCAGGATTCCAGGAACTAGGTAGCCCCTTTCAACTCTGAGATCCTGTGTGTTTTTACTAATTTGATGTTCACTGTAATTTTGAAGGGAGGTTATGTTTCTCTCAGTTAGTGGGTGAGGAAACTGACAAGCTACTTAGTCATAGTCGCAGACTGGTGGCAGGTGGTGGTCTATGTGATGATGTGATGAGTCCTGCAGCTGCAGATACCTCTGAAAGAGAAGCTTCTGCCCCACTGAAGCAGGGGTGTCACAGGTGGAACAAGATGTTTCTGCTCTGAACGTGTAGTTATTATCAGATTATTGCCAAAGGATTTTTACATTGTTTTAAATCTGTTGGGTCAAATACTTATTTATTTACATCAGGTTTGAGTAGGTTGGCCCATTTCTTCTTGATAATAGAGTATTAAAAAGTTTTCATTAGTGGCCAATATGAGAACATTTTCCCAGTGATTCAAAAGACTAGCTGTTTTATTCTGTGACTTCTTTACTAATCCAGATATGTAGATATAGTTGCAGATCAAGATGTGATAATTCTCCTTTCTGTGGTTTTTGTGAATCCTCTTTAATTTGTAGTTTAAGGAATTGAGTTGAGAAAAATCATAAGGAAAACTTTAATGAAATTATGTCTTTAATTTGATATTTAGGAACAAATATAATTACATACTTTTGCTGTAAATACATGTATAGGTGTATTCTAAAAGAATGACACTGAAGAAATTTCTTTCTTTTTCTTTTTCTTTTCTTTTTTTTGAGACGAGGTCTTACTCTGTAGTTCAGGCTGGCCTTGAACTCACTTTGTAGCCCAGGCTGGTCTTAACTTGTAGTGATTCTCCTGGCCTCAGCCTCCTGAGTGCTGAGATTCCAGGTGTGTGCCACCACGCCTGGCTTGAAGGAATTTCTAAATATAAAAGTACAAAGCATATCTAGGTGTACAAGAAGTATGTATTAAGTGAGTCATCCTTTAATTTGGTAGTCTTAAAACAGTTTCTGGATTCCTACGTCAGCCTCAGAAAGCCTACTTTCAGCTGATGTGTGCTATACAGTATGCTTAAAATCTGTACACAAATATACATAGTACTCCTGCTTCTTTAGTTAATAATCACAAAGATGGGAAACCTAGGGAACTGGAAAATGGCACTCAGGAGATTCACAAAAGAAAGGGTGTCTTTGTGTGTGGGGAAGGGTGGTTGCATATATTTATAAAAAGTTTATTTGAATATGGAGGACTTACAAGGAAGTCTTTGCTTTAGAAGAAGCTCAGTAACTAAAACCAGATTAGACTAGCTAAGAGCTTTTTATTTTATTTTATTTTATTTATTTTCTCTTTTTTTAGCGCTTTTTGAAAACGGTGGTGTGTTTTGTGGCCTTCAAAGCACTTGTCTTATTTGATGGAATTGAAAAACTGCAGAAGTTGTGGGCTGCTATCTAGAAAAGAAAAAGTTGTTTGGAATAACATACTTAGACAAGTATTTGAAGATCATTCTTAGGTGGTATCCCTGATGCAGCATAAATTTTGTGTGAGAAGTGAAAATGGTTGTATTCTAGAACAACATTATAGACAATAGATGATAAAAAGATATAATTGTTTCAGGTTATGTGAATATGAGAAGACTCTTAAATTAGACTTGGTTTTTGGTTCTTTTAAAGAGCTGGTACTAAAAAGCAGATGTTGAGGTACTATAGTTACGCATATTTAATTTAAAATAGTAAAGAGTACACAGTGGGGTGAATTTGAATTGTGGATAAATACTGATAGACATAAGCAAAGTTAAAATTAAATAATTGTACTGTTTATCTATTTTCATATCTAAAGTCTCATTGATTTGATGCATTTTGAAGGGTTAAATAGTCTTTATTCTGTGCTTTTGGTTTTTGGGAATTTCAGGGTTGAGCTAACATTTTTGACATGAGTGCAGATTAACTAAATTTTAAGCATAACTGTAAAAGTTGGCAGCAAATGAGACAGGTATTACAAAACAGTTTTAGTCACTGATAAGATGAATTTGTTGTACTATAGCATTAAAATATACACTAATCATCTACCCATTTAAAATTTTTGGTTTACTTAAGCCAGTCTTGGTGGGGCATTATTAAAATGAAGTAAGTAGACCTTTTAATGCCTTGGGCTCTCTGTCGAATGTGAAGATAGGGCTGTTGCAGGGCTCCTTGTTGGACACTTAGCTTGAAACGTGATTTATGCAGCCATTCTGTGGGCAACTCATTCCCTTGAGCCCAGCCTTGAATTTTCACACTTCTGTCGAAAGTTTTGTTTTATGTTTTGAAAGAAAATCTGGAACATAATTACATTTTGCCTTTCTCCTGTGTAAACTGTAATGGAAATAATTGTGCAAAACCTTATAGTCATAGATTTTGGTCTTACCATATCTATATCAATGTGTGTTTATGTGCATTTGGTTTTGAGGCCAGCTTTGGTTGTATAATAGCAATGCTTGCATTGTTTTGAATGAAACCATATGTACTCTCATCCACTTTATGTCATTTTAAGTATGAACTTTTTCTTGGCTGATGAAAGTAATAGTTAAATTCTATAAAATTGTGGAGTTTGAGCAGATCTGTTCTCTGTAGGAGGTGTGCCTAGAGCAAAGCGTCTGTTTCCTCTTATGTCCTCCATCTAGTTTGTTCAGGTGGGATTGGTTGCTGACTGGTTCCCTGTGGATCTCTCATTGCTAAGCTCAGGTTCCTTCAGCACAGATAGCTACTTCCTTTTCCAGCCTTCTGTAGTTAACATCTCTGCTGCCCAGAGTTGGGATTCTGATGGTCTCCTTCGGTGAATCTCGAGTGCAGCCACTGCAGCTATGCATTTTCTTGCTTCTAGTGCCTGGCACAGTGTGCATTGTCACTAGTGAAATCATTAAAATCAGTGCATATACTCTAATCAAATTATTAAAATGAATGAACATTAGTTAACAAGATGGAAGAAGGGCAAATGCCCACATACAGTCTTGGAGTGGGAGTGGAAGGAAAGTTCTCCCAGCTTTTTCAGCTTGGGTTTGGGAGCTCATTCCTGGCTTTCCCTTCACCTCTGCTTCATGCTACCATTCCTGGTGTTCTAGTTTCCATCCTCATCTCTTGAGACGAACAGTGTCCTTGTCTGGGTCATTAAGTACTTCCTAGTCAAGTGTAGTAAAAACTTTTAACCTTCACCTTAGTGGACTTTTGGGCTGCATATGACAGGCCTGTTTCATTAGAGCACATGACTCTTCTCCTATGACACTATACCCTTTGGAATCTGGCCACAGTTTCAATAATTCTTTGGGCTTCTCTATAGGCTCATTTTCCTCTCTTTTGCTTAAGTGGTGATGTTCTCTAAGATTTGTTCCACTACCTATGGTTTTCTTTTCATATAATCTTTTAAAATAAAGTTTCTAGTTTTATTTCCTTCTTATTTGGTAATTCATCTAGCATCTATTGAGTATTTATTTTGTGCCAAACACTTGTTTCACTTATACCCTGGAGAGATAATGATGAATAAAACAGAAAATCCCTTGCCGTCTGAGTACATACTTCCTCAACATAGTGAACTCTCTACTCATTTTCTAGATCAGAGGTTATTCCCCCAGTGTAAACTCATGTGTCACTTTCTCCTGGGTATTTTCACCTGGAATTCCCATTGGGACCTCAGTTTTTACCTGCAGAACATGGCAGAGGGTAGCTCCACTCTCTTGCTGTATATGCCATCTGAGTTGTTTTACCATGTGTCTTCTGTCACTTCCCAGTCTTCCAAGTCCTCCTACGTGTGACTGGAATCTGGACTTGCTGCTTCCTTGCATTGCTGCCAGTTCTGGACTGCAGCTGCACCTAACAGTGCAGTAGCCCAACCTGCTTTCAGCCACTTTGTGACAGAGCAGGTTTGCTGAAGGTGACTGAACACCAGCCCTCTCTGTAAAAGCCCTCAGTGGTTCATCCATAAGATGATACCAAGTGGCCTTTATGCATTAGCCCTCTTTCTGTTTTCTGCCTCCTTCAGCTGCTTCTCTGAAGACTCTTGCTTCACTTGATCCAAATTGCTTACATTTCCTCATGTGCAGTTCATCTTTGAGTCCATTTCTTGCTCCATCCTCTCCTCTTTGAACCTGTTATTCCCATTTATCCTGGTAATCCTCAAGCCTACTAGTGAGTCCCTATGTGCCATGTGATGACTGTCTAGTCTGGCATGCAGTAGGGATCATTACCTGGTTTTGAAGGAAGGAAAGATCTGTTGAGTGCATGCTATTGGCCATTATTGCCTTAGATCAGGGCTTGCATTGCTCACTCTGCCTAGGGGTAAGGCCCTGCTGAGGTCCACCTTCTGGTTCTCTCCACGGCTTTGGCCTTGAGGCCTGGGGACTGACTCACTAGACCAAAAATGAAATTCAGGGTATAGTTTTGAACTGATTATGTTTGGTAAGGTGCTTGCTTATGCAGGGAAGATAACTTGTGACTCATAGTCAGGGGCTTATTCCTGCACACTAGTGGTCTTTGAAAATTTTTACCCAAGACATTTGTTATCTAAAATCTGCCCTTTCACTTTTTAATGAGCACTCAGACAGGTAATGCTTGATCAGGACTTGCAGACTTAGGTCTAAAAAGAAATTGTTCTAAGGACACATTGAAATCAGAAAGTACTGCTAATCACCTAGTATCTTTTGCCCTTATTCCTAGTAAGTTTGAAAGAGCAGAGAGATTAATAACTATCATGTTCATTTCTTATATGCATAATAGAATTTTAAGTGTTTAAGATACAAAAATCTTCCTTTTTTTTTGTTTACTCCACATCTCTCTTAATTGTTAAAACCTCCCTAAAAGTTGAACAATAGTCTTTTATCCAGTTAGTTTTTTTCTAATATTCTTTGGGATTTTTGCCAGATCATTCATTGGTTTAATAATTTCAGAGTTAATAGTTGTGTTTTTAATGCATGTATTGACAGAAAAACTTCTGGGTTTGTAATGAATAATACACTGATAAACCTACCTCTTTGTATATTTCTTCACAGGGCAGTCCAATGGACCCAATGGTGATGAAGAGACCTCAGTTGTATGGGATGGGCAGTAACCCCCATTCCCAGCCGCAGCAGAGCAGTCCCTACCCAGGAGGTTCCTATGGCCCCCCAGGTGCACAGCGGTACCCGCTCGGCATACAGGGCCGGGCCCCAGGGACCCTGGGAGGCATGCAGTACCCGCAGCAGCAGGTGGGTGCTAGTTTTTCTGTCCTTCCTTTTTTGCGGATAGCGTTCTCTTTGTCTATTACTGTCTACAAGATTGGTGTTATGAGAATTAGTGTTTACTGCTTTCTGTTAGTGTTCATTATTTCTTTAAATATAGAATGTTGAACTTCTTCAACAAAGTGGACAACATGCCTGTTGGTAGAAAGCCAGTAAGTCCTACCTTTATTTTAAAGATGCACTATGTCAAAATTTTGCAGCCACTTACGTAGATGTAAGCTCTGAAGCGAACTTGGCATGCTCACCTTTCTGAGGTCATTGTCAGATTTTGAGCTGAGAATAGGCTATCTTTAGGTGAATTTTCAAGTCATCCAATAGTCTTCCTGGAAGGTAGCATCAACTTGAAATATTATTTTATTACTTTGCTTTCATTTCTTAGACTTTCTAATATATCTTCTGAAACCGGTTTCTGTATTTTTTATGAGGGTTTGATCTAGGTTTGTGGCCCTAGATTTTGATGAGTTTTGTAGTTTTACTTAAATACAAGATATTTCCTGCTCTTGAAAGGAAGATATGATCTTTTTCTCCTTTTCTTCAGAGTTAAAATGATGAACCACAAATGACCATGTACCTTCTAGCAGTGTAAACCTACAGTCTTTTGGATACTCGAGTGTGTCCTCATTATGTTGCCCCAAGAAAGCATAGAATTTGAAAAAGACTAAATTAGATTCAGACTTGTTAAGGTATTTAGTTACTAGGAATACCAGAAAAGCTTATTTATAAATTGCTATGCTGTGCCTGACAGCCCTAGGGAATACATCAGGCTAGTGCAGTCTGTTTCACTGCCTTCAGACTAGAGCATTTCATAATGCTGCCCAGTAACCCATGCTAGAGGTTAACAATACTTTCCTTAGGAAATTCTCTGTATTTGCCCAAAAATCTTCCGTAGGGTAAAAAAGGTGGACAAAACTTTTATTCTTTCTAAAGTAGATGTAGGAAATGATTTATTATACTTTACATGATACACAGTTGTGTACTAAAATTCATTACTAAGTTGCCCCTGAGCCTTCTCCTTTAAAGTCTATTGTCTTTTCTCTTTAAGGGTATTATGGGGAAAGATACCAATAGCTCAGTATTTGGGTCCTATACTTGTTCATTCCTTAGACAACCTTAACTATTGTCAGGAGGTTTCATTGCATAATAATTAAAAATTAGCTATTGAGAATGCCAGCAGTCACTTACTTAATTGTACTCTTAATTTTTTCCCATAGTACTCCTTTCTTTCAGCAATATTTTGCTTCATAGAGTAAAAGTCTTTAGTTGAGGCTGCTAATCGTGAAGAGATAATTTATAAATGATAAAAATTAAGTGATTTGTGTCTGTTTCTCTATCTACCTCACCCCCAACCCTGCCCCTGCTCCCACTGTCATCAAACCCTTTTTGAGTTTTAGGACTTTTGTCTTTATAGAGGGGAGGAAACCCTGAACAGGTAAAGTCATCCTTGCATTCTATAGTTAATTTGATTTGGAGCTGATAGTTCCTTATGATACTCTGGCCACAGAAAGACAAGAGGCGGAGAAGTAGCGTGCAGTAGCAGGGCTAATGGAAGAAGTATGTGCTTGTTATGCCACCGTGTTTCAGTACCTTCTGGTTTATCATGTCTCCCTGATGTGAGTGAGATTGGAAAGTTTGTTTCAAATAGTACTATTCATGGCAAGAGCTAGATGCTCCTTTATCTCTTTGCTAAATGCGTTAGTCTTTCTAGAAGTTTTAGACACTGGCTTAGTATGCATAACCAAAGTAGCAGTCAAACAAATGGAGAGAGTGTATGAGGAATGATTGTTTTTTTGGGGGGTACCAGGAATTGAACTCAGGACCTTGTGCCCGCCAGGCAGGTGCTGCACTGCTGAGCTATATCCCCAGCCCAAGAATGGTTTTTGAACTTAGGAAATTTTATTATTTTTTCTCCAGATGCATAAGGTTAAAATTAAAGGACATATAAAATATAGTATGTATAGTAACTCATTGTTAATTTGTTTTATTTAATATCTGTGGCTCTTGGAGAATGTAACAACACTAAGTTGAGGGAAGAAAGTGGTGAAGACTGCTTATCAAGTGTCTCAGCAAATTTCTAATTAAGGTTTTAGATTAGGCATTTTATTGTAGCAAAAAAGAATGACTAGCCATTTTATTGCCATCCAGTTTTAAATGCACACATCTTTCTGATAACGTAAGGAAAATATTGTACCTGGTATGAAACTGAATATCCTGGCTGCAGAAATGTCAAGCTTTCACATTGAGTTAATCATAATCAAGGGTCTGAATACTCTACTGCTTTCTCGCCCTTTCTTTTAGTTATAATACAGCTTTCAAATACAGTATCTTGTTTTGAAATTTAAAAAGCTAAAGGTAGCTGTGAATACAGTTTTGAATATGTGTAACATTTTAAAGGAGACATAGAGATTTTATAACATCAGGTCCATGTGAAAAATTCTTAATTGTTTTGAAATGGAAAAGAATTAGTGAAGTATTTGAGTATAAGTTATTAGAGCACATGCATTTATTTTGTTAGCTTTAGTCTGTGTTCTTTGGTGAGGAATTCTCAATGAGTTGCATTGTATACAAGTTTCAGGAATTACAAATGTGTCCCCAAACAAGTTCCTGGCACTGTGATTGGCTGTTAGTCCTATCCATTTCCTTCCAGGATTAATTTAATTGGCTAAGCATTGTTGTAGTTGTGACTGCTAATGTTCTTCAGGGGGAGGGATGAAAGATAATTATGACATTGAGTATTTATTGAGTGGACATCACCACCTAGGCATGACTTTGCTTTGGATACCTTCCAGAGCTTTCTGTGTTTGGTTTGTGAACCTCTAATGAGCTGAATCCAGTTCATTTAATATTGCTCATATATTTCTGCAAAGGATTAAAATGCAGGAATTCAAGTTTGTAAATTGAGTTGCCCACTTACCAGCTGAGTAGTAAGTTGTCTTTGGCTCAGAGGTCACAGTTTGATTCCTGGCTGGCCTTCCACTCCTGTGATAGGAATTTTAAATGAGTATTCTGTTAGAAAGAACTGCAGTGCTTGTATGAAATTTAACATGGATAGTATCTTGCCTTTACAATTTTTTTTGGTCTCCATGAGTCAGGAGGAACTAGCCACTGAGGGTTTGATTTTAGTACAGTATTAAACTGGTGATTCTTGATTTGTGTGATGATAATTTTATTTTTAAAATGTACTCATGACTGGGTCATTGAAGCATGACATGATAATAGTATATCATTTTTGTCTTTATTAACTGGAACTATATTTGTGGTCTTTCACTTGCTGTTTCTCCCATGTCATCAGGCAAATACATGCCTAAAGAGATTAGTTTTGCACGGTTCCCTAAAAACTAGTCCACTTGGGTTTTTATTGAGTTGAGAGGGGAAATGAATTTTCTATGCCTTTATGGAGAATGTTCCGCCTCCAGGCTCCTGGAATTCAAACCTGGGGATGGTTAACAAAAGTACACTGGTTGATTTTATTTAATGCAAAGCTACATAGATATATAATCTGTAAGGTTACTAGAATCTGTGGTTTAGATTTTTTTTTTTTAAGATGCCAAGGTATTTTTTACTGAATCAGGGTTGTGGGTGAGCAGAGGTTTATTTCATTTTCTTTGTCCTCCGTGACACATTTATTTATGCATGGACTTTTTCCAGCTTGCTTTAAAAAAGATTTTTATAGTTGAGTGTGGTGGTGCATACCTGTAATTCTAGCTACTTGGGAGGCTGAGACAGGGGGATTGCAAGTTCAAAGCCTGTCCAGGCAACTTGGTGAAACCTCTTCTGAAAATGAAAAACAAATAAGTAAACAAACAAAGAAATAAACACAAAAATGAGCTGGGGTATATTGTCTTTGATGGTTTGATCAGTCTTGCATTCTTATATCTGGTAATCTGACAACTTTGTTAAAGATAACAATATGTAATATAACAGCCACTGTCAATTCTTACCATTTTGTTCTGACACCCTGTATCATTTGTATTGTTTTTGCTTTGTTTTGTTTTTGTCTGTGTTGTTGGTATTTTGCTGTTGTTCTTTTTTTTACTCTCTTTAAAATAAAAAAAAAAAAAAAGAAAAAAAATGAGCTGGGGTAAAGCTTAGTGTAGAGTGCCCCTGTGTTCAGTCTCTAGTAACTCAAAGCAAAATAAAAACAGACAAAAAAACCCTAAAAACAAACAACACCCAGGAAAAAAAGGTTATAGAAGCTGAGTTTTTTATTTGGGTGAAGCAGATTTCAATTATGCAGTGTGAGATTTTCCCTGAGTTTTGGGGTTAACTACCTTACTTTGTTATAAATATTTGATAGTGTGATGCTGGTTGGAATTATACAGCTGGCGAAGGGAAAGAAAATAAAAGGAGTGATATAATTTCATGAGTGCTTTTATAATGAGAAGACAGGGCTTAGTTTTTTTAAAAAAATCTATATTGTGAAAACCTTTACAAAAAAGTGGAATATGATCATTGCTTGCAAGTGGCAAAATTAAATATCAATAAGTTATTTTTGTTATGGTGATGTATCTGAACTTAGCACTTTAAGTTAAAGTCAAAACTGAATTAGAAACAGCTTCCTTTTTGAAGAGATCTTTCAAAAGCTGTCTGTATTCTAATTTTTGTCTAATTTATCGTCTGTCCTCCCTGGTTATATATATTTTGCTACATATTTTTTGAGTTAAATACTTACTTCAGAACATAAGCGTTTTATTTGGTAGCTTCTTTACAGCCAACACATTTCTTCCAATGCAAATGTTTATTTTGGCAGTGGTTGTTTCTAAAAGGAAGATAAACATTACCATCATCTAGCTAAAATAAATGTTTTCTTTGAGGTTTTTAAGGCTGCTAAGCAATTTCTAGGATTCTCATCTTTGTTACTTTATCTTATTGGTCAATTCTGGGAAATATTTTCATTCTAAGTGTGACTGAAGTCATATTTTGATACAGCACGAATAATACCCTGAAAAGAAAGGATAAGAAGTGAGAGG